TGGGTAAGGTGAGAAGAGCTTTACAAGCATCTTATCTCAGCAACAAATTTCCAGAGATACATTGGTTCACATTTCTGCTTTCTGGTTGTTTCTAACAAGCAACTCAAAATAGTGTCTCCAGCGAGTGAAGGAACAACTGTGTTTCAGGACCTCACTATATTACTGGAATCCCTTCTGGGCATATTTTAGAAAAGACATTGGTGAATTGCAACACATCTAGAAAACCGCCACTAAAACCACCAGAGGCCTAGAAGGAAAAACTGACGAGGAATAGAAATGTAAATATTTAGCCTGCAGAAGACTTCAAGGAGACACAACAACTCTCTTCATCCACCTGAAGAAAGGCCAGGTAGAAGGTGGGGCAGACAAATGAAATTTAATGTAGAGAAAAGCAAGGTTTTACACCTAGGCAGGACAAACCAAAGGCACAAGTACAGATTAGGCAAAACATGGCTCAAAAACAGTAACTGTGAGAGGGACCTTGGAGTCCTAGTGGACATTCACTTAAACATGAGCCAGCAGTGTGTGGCAGCAACCCAAAAAGCAAATAGAATCTTTGGTTGTATAAACAGAGGCATAGAATCAAAATCATGTGAAGTCTTAATACCGCTTTATAAAGCCTTAGTAAGGCCACACCTGGAATACTGCATCCAATTCTGGTCACCACTTTACAAAAAAGATGTTGAGACTTTAGGGAAAGTGCAGAGGAGAGCAATTAAAATGATTAAAGGCCTGGGAACTAAAACATATGAAGAACGGTTGCAGGAATTGGGTAGGCCAGTCTAGAGAAAAGAAGGACTAGAGGCGACATGATAGCAGTATTCCAGTTTTTGAGAGGTTGCCACAAAGAAGAGGGGGCCAGAAGGCAAGACAAGAAACAATGAATGGAAACTAATCAAAGAGAGAAGCAACCTGGAATTAAGGAGAAAACTCCTAACAGTGAGGACAATCAACCAGTGGAACAGTTTTGCCTTCAGACATTGTGGGTGCTTCATCACTGGAGGTTTTTAAGAAGAGACTGGACAGTCACTTGTCTGAAATGGTTTAGGGTTTCCTGCTTGAGCAGGGGGTGGGACTAGAAGACCTCCAAGATCCCCTCCAGCTCTATTCTGATTGATTGTTCAAAGTTGTTCCAGAAGTTTGGATAAAGAGCAATGTATTTAAATTACAGATAGTCCTCAATTTACAACCATTAGTTCAGCAACTGTTCAAAGTTACAGCATTGAAAAAAGTGATTTATAACTATCCTCATGCTTAAAACTGTTGCAGCATCCCCATGGCCATGGGATCAAAATTTGGGTGCTTGGCAACCGGTATGTATTTATAGCAAAAGCACTTAGATTTCTATACCGCTTCACAGTGCTTTACAGCCCTCTCTAAGCGGTTTTGCAGAGTCAGCATATTGCCCCCAACAATCTGAGTCATTTTACTGACCTCAGAAGGATGGAAGGCTGAGTCAACCTGGAGCCGGTGAGGATCAAACTGCCAAACTGCTGGCAGCTGGCAGTCAGCAGAATTAGCCTGCAGTACTGCATTCTAACCACTGCGCCATCAGGGCTCATAATTTATGATGGTTGCAGGATCCCGGGGTTATGTACTCACCATTTGCAATCTTCCCAGCCAATGTCCATCAAGCAAATTCAAGGGGGAAGCTAGATTCCTTTAAAGACCATGTAATTTACTTAACAGCTGCAGTGTTTTCCTTAACAACTATGGCAATCAGACTGTAAAATCGAGCACAACTGATTTAACAACCGGCTTGCTTAGCAACAGAAATTCTGGTCCCGATTGGGGTTGCAAGCCAAGGACTGTCTGTACAAGGATGCAGAAATCGGTTGGACATTATGAAAATTGTCCCAATGTAAGAGCTGTTCAAAAACAGAAGAGACTTTTACAGGAGGTGATGGTTTCTGCCTGATGTGTTCAAACATAGGCTAGATCAGAGGTCCCCAACCTTTTGGGCACCACTGACCACTTCCATGGAGAAAGGTTTTTCCACGGACCGGAGAGTGCGTGGTTTTGTGTGCTGCCTGCATCCCACGGATGGGGCTTTGCTTGTTTGTGAGGACCGGTTGCTGGCGTGCCTCAGCTCGGTACTGGTCCACGGACCGGGGGTTGGGAACCCCTGGGCTAGATGGCCATTTTTCAGGATATTGATGTAGCCTTGGTTTCTGCAATAGGCAGTTGGTTGAATTGGGTTATTACCAAGAACCGCTCCAATTCTTACGTTCTAAGATCTGATTCTATTCTTATACTATTACATCCTACCTTTGAAATATACTTCCACTGTGATGTCCATGTTTGCAGCAGCTGGGGTGACCATTTAAATTTAGCACTTGATCGCATTGATTTGAGTTTTGTGCCTAAATCGTACCATTTACCCAGAAGACTAGACTGATAAACACCTTTAAATTACATGTTGATGTAAATAATAATAATAATAATAATAATAATAATAATAATAATAATAATAATAACTTTATTGTCACTTTGAATGTACACCAATCAGCATACATCAAAATGAAATTTCGTTGCATACAGCTTTCAAAGGGTCACCACCTCTGATATACACTCCTTGTTCGTGGCCAGCTCAAGTTTTAGATCGTCCATTTTAGTCTCTAGGGAGCGAACGATGGCAAACAGGACAGATGGGAATGGAGCTCTATGTGGATTAGCCCTCAAATTAGCTTGTATTCCTGCATGACAATCTCACCTCCTTTCCTTTTTCTGATCCTGTCTCTTCCACCTTTTTCTTAAAGAGGCCTAAAAGGTGGAACAGTCAGGATCAGAAAAAAATATTAAGTATCTTGGATTCAAACTCTGTTGTTACCCCAACCGTTTGATTGTTTTTGTATTTTTAGGGGAGGGGGATGTAATAGTTCTCACTGAACGAATTTAAGAGCAATGAATATTATAAATAAATAATTATCACAACTTTCCCTTTTTTGGATAAAAAGGGAAAGGAACTTAATAGCCTTCTACAATTGTTCCCAGATGTGTTAGATTCCCAGGCAAATTTTGCCATTTAAGTAAAATGCAACCCAATGCATTATGTACTGAAAAGGCCTTATTGATCTCAGAACTTATTTCTGCTCAGAATTAAGCTGAAAATTGCACACCCCTCAAGATGGCTAAGGCCATCATTTTTATACTCCTAATGCACCTTGACTCAGATACAAATCCGCAAATTGAATGCCGGTGCTAAAAATATTTTGTTTCCTGCTATAACAATATTTTCCCTTATTTATGTTGCTTTTAGCAGCCTTAAGATAAATAGGATAGCAAATACAAAATGGAATCGGCAAAAACGTTGGATGCAGATTCCGGAGCTTAGGAAGTAAGGACTACTGTCTGTATCACCAATCCTATCTTTAACAGCGGATTCAGAGTTAACAGAATAGCAGAGTTGGAAAAGACCTTGGAGGTCTTCTAGTCCAACCCCGTTCAAGCAGGAAATTCTACACCATTTCAGATAGTTGCCCAATCTTTTCTTTAAAACATCCAGTGTTGGAGCATCCACAACATCTGGAGGCAAGCCATTCCACCGTTAATTGTTCTGTCAGGAAAATTCTTAGTTCTAGGTTGCTTCTCTCCTTGATTAGTTTCCATCCATTGCTTCTTATTTTGGCTTCAGTTGCTTTGGAGAATAGTTTTGACTCCCTCTTCTTTGTGGCAGCCCTTTAGATATTGGAACACTACTATCATGTCACCCCTAGTCCTTCTTTTTATTAAGCTAGACACCCAATTCCTGCAACTGTTCTTCATGTTTTAATCTCCGGTTCCCTAATCATCTTTGTTGCTCTTCTCTGCACTCTTTCTAGAGTCTCAGCATCATTTTTATACCATGGTGACCAAAACTAGATGCAATATTTCAAGTTAGATATTCAAATATAGGAAAATAAATTCAAGATGTTAAACCTTAAGGTGTTATTGTCCAGGGAGTTTTCTAGTGCAGAGTTTGTAAGCCTGTAAAGATCAAACTCTTTCCATTCCAATTTTAAAATCAATCTTAGTGAGCTAAATAAAAGCCTTAAACTATTAAAACCTGGCTTTATTTTTTAAAATATTTATATCCTACCTTTATTATTTTTACAAGGCGGCAAGCATAACCAGCATACCTTCCTTCTCCTATTTTCCCCCACAACGACAATCCATTGAGGTGGGGTGGGCTGAGAGAGTGATTGGCACAAGGTCACTTAGGTTTTCATGCCTAAGGCGGGACTAGAACTTCCCGTCTTCTGGTGATTGGCCCAAAATCATCCAGCTGGCTTTCATGACTAAGGCGGGACTAGAACGCATGGTCTCTCCCGGGTTCTAGTTGCTAACTTAACCACTAGACCAGACTGGCTCTGTATCTCTATAATATCAAACTGGATATTAGATATTTATCCGGACGGAAGGAAGGAAGGAAGGAAGGAAGGAAGGAAGGAAGGAAGGAAGGAAGGCCTCTGTGATGTAAGCCTAATGTTCTGAGGTAGAGATTGATTAATTCTTGGACTAGGGTACTGCATCCTCCCACACCTTAATTTCTCCCAAGTCTCTAGAGGCTATCAACATATTATGGAACATTGGTAATTTCCAAGGGCTTTGAAAACTCAAAAGCATCATTTGGAGTACTGTCAACCTGGTTCTAATCACTAAATCCTGCTGACCGAAGTACAGATGCAAAAGAAACTGGGCAAAGTACATATTGGAAGGTTTTACATAACTGGTAAAATTTATTCCATGTGCAAAAGTTAAGTTCCCTCAATGCAGTTTGCTTCTGTATTTAGGCACAGGGCTCTCAAACTGTGCTTTTTAGATACTACTCAAAAAAAAGTAGTACTGTTCTTCTAGAAGTTTGATTATGTAGCAATGCAAAGAAAGGAGAGGGGGAGAAAAAAAAGGTAGGGTTTAAATAAATCCAGAGACGAAAATAGTTTATAGATCAAAAATACATAGTCAGATACAGATAAATTTGTTTTTAATAAAGGAGTTAATTTTCTTTCAATCCTATATAAAACAATAGCAATTAAAAACTTCATTTTTGAAAGTAAAATATTTACATATGAACAAGGGACTGTGCAAAATTTACATAAAAAAAATGGAAAGACAGGATTTCTCTCTCTTATTTTTTTTCCCTAAAAGACAAATAAAAAGGTGTAACAGTTTGTTGGATGTTGATAAAAATACTGATCAGCGTTCAGTTTTACACACACACAAAAAAAAGGAGAAAAGGTACAAATGCACTGGAAACTCTCCTTGCACAAGGCTCTGTTCAAATCAATGCCAGTTCGTGCACAGCAAACCTTCATTCCGGGTAGGGTTTGCGCAAGGAAGGTCCCCAGCTGCCCTGCCCTTGAAAATCTAACATGAGAGTTCACACAAAGAAAACCGACATATTTACAGTCATAAAAGTACTATCAATAGACAATTTAATACAATAACCTCTGAAAATATAAAGAACCAATTAGTATATTTGTAATAAAAAAATAGGTAGAAACAGGGGAATTTTGCTCTGGACATCTTTAAAGTTAAGCCCATAAGCTTTGCATACAGTCTTTTAGCAAAATAATTATAGTTTACATAGCCATTTTTTAATGTTATGTGCCAAAAAATTATGTACAATTACTGACAAAATACACCAACCATTTTTTTTTTCAACACTTGATTTCACACTGAGAAAACTGCCTTTTTGATGATTCCTCTCAACTCTGATTTTTATTTAATCTAAGCTTTCACTTTCGCTAAAAAACACAGTGCAAGTAAAATATATTTATGCTGAAAAGTTATTTTTTTTTTCGTTTTTCGTTTTTTTGTTTTAAACTTTACAGCTTTACAAACTATAGCAAATAAATGCATTTCTTTTTTTCCTTTTTTAATTTTTTTTTTTGTACAGATGCTGATAAAACATTCAGAAGGAACTGTCCTTTGTGGATCTTCAGAGTTGGGTGGGGTGCCTCTAATAAGCAAAAATAACAAGATTAAAAAAGAATTGAGGTTACGCTTAAAATTAAATGTTGTGTAGAATTTGAACCATCTCGGGCAGGAAGGTAAAGATAAATATTTATTAAAATCAATTTATTTTGCTAGCTGACTTCTTTTAAAAGCTAAAGTAAAATGAGGTCACCTGCTGTAGGTATACATATATGTATATATATATATATACCTAGATGCTTTTTGAGTTAAAGTACAACTGAAATAAAATGCACAATTAATGTTGAATTGCTACAGGATCATCTGACACAGAGTAGCTGGTTATTTGCTAATGGTTCCCTCAGTCTCTATAATATGGCTTGTTTGACAAGAAGGCCACTCCAAGAGATGAGTTAAACTTTCAACTGTCCGCATATTGTCTCCTTAGGCCTTTCCACGTCTCCTGACTGTCAAAGACAGAGATCTCTCTCTCACGTCAAAGGGTTAATGATCAATGGAAATAGAAAACGGGCTCCTTGCAAAGAGATGGCTGTCCCAGGGCGGTGGCTGTTGATGGGGTGTTCTGATTTGGATTTAAAACAATATCCCATAGGCTTGTTACAAAAAGGCGTAATCTGCAAATATATATAAAAAGTGTCCCCAGGGTCTTCTTTTGCCAAAAAATACCTTGATCTTCTCCACTTCTACTTAAGGAATGCTTTATAGAGCAATAGTGAATGGCTTGTCTCTCGCTCATTTTCTAAACAAAATATGAGGTCCCTGAGGTTCACCCGAGTTATCCTTTGCCGTGTAAACTGTCTGGTTGTTCCGATTCCGGAGCATCCTGGTACTGCTACACTCGGACTGGATCCCTGGGGAAAAAAGAGAGAAAAAGGATGTGGTTTTTTTTAATCCTTCAAGCAGAATCCCCTTGCAAAGCTGACTACAGGTGGTCCTTGACTTACAACATTTCATTTAATGACTGCTCGAAGTTACAACGGCACTGGAAAAAAAGTGACTGATGACCTTTTTTACACTTACGACAACTGACTCATCTTTATGACAGTTGCGGTGTCTCAAGGTGATGCGATCACCTGTTGCGACCTTCAGACAAGCAAAGTCATTGGGAAACCCAGCTTCACTTAACAACCGTGTTACTAATGTATAAACTACAGTGATTCACCTAATAACTGTGGCAAGAAACGTTAAATGGGGCAAAACTCACTTAACAAATTTCTCACTTAGCAACCTACATTTTGCACTCGGTTGTGGTTGTAAGTTGTATAGGTAGTCCTTGAGTTACAGTCATGAACAAGGGACTTGGGACTATAATTTCCAGTTGCCAAGCATCCAAATTTTCATGACATAACCGTGTGGATGCTGTGACAGTTGTAACTGCAAGGACTGATTGTTACTCACTTTTTTCGGTGCCACTGTAATTTTGCGGGGGCTAAACAAATATACTGTAAATGGAAGATTATCTGTAGCCCATATTGGATATCGGAGAAACCAGAAAAAATTGATGGCAAGACATTTTTTTCCAGGGAAAGGATAGTTCAGTAAGAATCATATATAACAGTGGTGGCGAACCTATGGCACGGGTGCCAGAGGCGGCACACAGAGCCCTCTCTGTGGGCACACGTGCTGTTGTCCCAGTCTTGCTTCCCCCCCCCCGTGACCCCCTCCTCACTAGCAGCCCTCCTGGAGAAGAGTTGCCCCCGAGCGTGGCCCACGTGGAGCAGTGCAGCCAAGGACATGGCAGCCAGGCAGCGTAGACAAGACTCTGCCCTCACGCCCCATCGCGCACAGTTGCTGCGGGGCGCGGGCAGAGGGCACGAGCTACCATGGCGCTGCTGGGCGATCTGCGGCGGGCCCTGGAGACGGTGAGTGGCCCTGAGGGCAGGGGATCGGGGTGGAGCTGGGCCAGGGCCAGTTTTTGGGCACTTGGTCTCTAAAAGGTTCGCCATCACTGATATATAAACTACAAGTAAACCTTGACTCACAAGCTTTGAGCAGATTTTGTGCCTCGAATGAGCCATGCTGGATTAGGCCAAAGCCCAACTTAAACCAGCCCATTGTTCCTTATATGAGCCAAGCAAAGATGCCCGGAGTACAGGCAAATTACAACAAATTACAACCATTTGTTTAGTGACCGTTTGAAGTTACAATGGCACTGGGGGAAAAATGTGACTTATGACTGTTTTCATATTCACAATCGTGGCAGCATCCCCCTGGTCGTGTGAACAAAATTCAGACGCTTGGCAACTGACTCAAATTTATGATGGTTGCACTGCCCCAGGGTCATGTGATCACCAAAGTTGACCTTCTCACCAGCAAAGTCAACGGGGAAGCCAGATTCACTTAACAGCCGGGTTACTAACTTATCAACTGCAGTGATTCGCTTAACACAGGGGTAAGCAACCTTGGCTCTTTTATGACTTGTGGACTTCAACTCCCAGAATTCCTGAGCCAGCCATGCTGAGGAGAAAGGGAGAGGTTTCCATGCTGAGCCATGCTGGCTCAGGAATTCTGGGAGTTGAAGTCCACGAGTCATAAAAGAGCCAAGGTTGCCTACCCCTGGCTTAACAACTGTGGCATGAAAGGTTGTAAAATGGGGCAAAGTTGTCTCGCTTAGCGATGGAAGTTCTGGGCTTAATTATGGTAGTAAGTTGAGAACAACTTGTAGTCCCAAATGAAGATGGAAACCCACCCTTTTCCCATCCTTGTTCCTCTGCAAGGGGCTTTTAAAGGCATGCTGCCCCCAACCCAGAGTAACTCTGAATTTTCATGATCAGTAGCCCTTGGCAGAGCTGTACACCGTGAGTTTATTCCATCTTCTTTTTGCCATGCAAGCTAGCAGTCCTCACTATAACTTAGGGTTATGGTTTCCACAGGTCAGTTGCGTACTGCATGACTAATTCCATTCTTTTGCTATTGAATAACCCCCCCCCTGCTCTTGATCTTTTAACAGAGGGGAAAAAAATAACTTCCCTGGGCATCTTATTTATTTATTTACCAAATTTAGAAACAGCTCATTTCACACACAGAGCAACAGTTTCCTCCAAGTCATCTACAATTTTATACACCTCGATTGTGTAATTCCTCTGTCACCTTTCAACCTAAAAGAATATCAAATGTTCTGGCTTCTTCTCATAGGGAAATGAATTCAAGCTCCAGGTTATTTTTATTGTTGTTGACTGTCAGTTGTCTGCTTACTCTGATTTAATCTGCTTCCATTTCATTCAGCATACGTATTTCAATTCTTTTTTTAAAAAAAAAATCTACATAATACTGGTGGTCCTTGACTGACGACAATTCAGCCCAAAATTTCGGTTGCTAAGCGAGGCCGTTGCCTCATTTTTATGATCTTTTTTGGCACAGACGTTAAGCAAATCACTGCAGTTCTTAAGTGAATTATAGAGTTATTAAGTGATTCTGAATCCCCGCATTGACTTTGCTTGTTGCAAGCCAGCTGGGAAGATTACAGATGGGGTTCACATGACCTTGGGACACTGCAACCATCATTCACACATGCCGGTTGCCAAGCGCCTTAATTTTGATCATGTGACCATGGGAATGTTGCAAAGGTTGTAAATATGAAAACCCGTCCTAGGTCATTGTCTTCAGTGCTGTTGTAATTTCAAATGGTCACTAAACATATGACTGTCAGTCAAGGACTACTTGTATAGACTTTGTATATTAACATTTTGTGTAATTAAACTCAAAGATTTAAGGAAAGTGGGATTGATATAATAATGTCACAGATATAGAAGTCCTAGCTTTAAATCCTAATCAAGTCAGTTCATATTACACTTTTGATTTCACTCTGTTAAGATATTGGCTTTTCTGGAACCAGACTTTCAACAATTCAGAAATTGCCCAATTAAATGTTTGTCACCGGACCAATGCAAAATAAAAAAAAATTGCCTCAAGGAGGGACTTACTAAGAGAAAATAAACAAGAGGACCGTAGTCTCTTCATTCTCATGAAAATATATGGAGACAGTAAATATCTGTAACCAGCAGGTGGCACATAAAGACCAGGAAAGTAATTTCTATTTTGACTTTTAAAAAGTGTGGGAGTTTAAAGATACTTAAAGTAAAAACTTTTTAATGATTTAGGCATTGTGCAAATAATTTACTAGAGCCTCTTAAAATATCCAGTAAAAATCAGGAGGAACAAGGAGTGACTAGTGCAGACGTGGGGAACTATGGCCCCTTTTATGACTTGTGGACTTCAACTCCCAGAATTCCTGAGCCAGCATGGAACAAATCAAAAGGGGGTTATAGTTCCCCACCCCAGGACTAGTGAAACTGAGAATTGGTGGGGCATTTCTCTTATCTGGAATAGAAGTGAAAGGAACAGCATGTTCAAAATGAACACAAGCAATAAAAATCGAGATAGTATTACACTGTCTTTTTAAGAATAAGCACATCCCCACAGAAATCCAAAGGTGTGAACGGGATGATACTGTTGAGATTATCTGTTTAAAATAAGGGGAAGTTGAAATTAAAAGCAGTCTGCTGGGCCATCCCAGCAAGAAGGTGAGGATCGCTTTCTTAAAAGCCATCTACATATCTTTCAAACTAGTATGAGCAAGCAGTGTGCTTAGATATGAGCCAGCTGTGTGCTGCAGCTGCCAAAAAAGCCAACACGGTGTTAGGCTGCATTAACAGAGGGATAGAATCAAGATCACGTGAAGTATTAATACCACTTTACAAGGCCTTGGTAAGGCCACATTTGGAATACTGCATCCAGTTTTGGTCACCATGATGTAAAAAAGATGTTGAGACTGTAGAAAGAGTACAGAGAAGAGGAACAAAGATGATTAGGGGACTGGAGGCCAAAACATATAAGGAATGGTTGCTGGAATTGGGTATGTCTAGTTTAATGAAGAGAAGGACGAGGGGGGACATGACAGCAGTGTTACAATATCTCAGGGGCTGCCCCAAAGAAGAGGGAGTCAAGCTATTCTCCAAAGCACTAGAAGGCAGGATAAGAAGCAACGGATGGAAACTAATCAAGGAGACAAGCAACCTAGAACTGAGGAGAAACTTCCCGACAGTTAGAACAATTACCCAGTGGAACAACCTGCCTCCAAAAGCGATGAATGCTCCAACACTGGAGGTTTTTAAGAAGAGATTGGACAACCATTTGTCTGAAATGGTATAGGGCTGTGGTGGCGAACCTATGGCACATGTGCGAGAGGCGGCACTCAGAGCCCTCTCTGTGGGCATGCGTGCTCTCGCCCCACTCCTAGGCCTTCAGCTGGCTTTTATATAACCTTTTCGCTTTAGGCCTCCGCCACCGTGTGCAAAAAAAAAAAAAGTTCAATCAATCAATCAATTTCAACTTCTTGCGGGGGGGGGGGAAATCTCGCAAAGTTGGAATTGATTGATTGAACTTTTTAGTCCCATCCAGTCTGCCGTTACCACCGCAGCCACACCCACCCAAGGGGCCACGCCCACCCGGCACCTGACAATACATAAGTGGGTTTTGGGTTGCAGTTTGGGCACTCGGTCTCTAAAAGGTTCGCCATCACTGGTATAGGGTTTCCTGCTAAGCAGGAGGTTGGACTAGATGACCTCCAAGGTCCCTTCCAACTTTGTTATTGTTATTATCGACCTGTAATTCACTCCTTTTGTAGCTTGGTCTTCTTTGAGAAAATAACTCTTTTACTTGGTAATTATTCTATGCCATCCATCCTTTTTCCCTCCTATGTCCATGTTTCTATCAATGCTTCTTTGATCCATGTTAGAGGTGTCATCTTAGCTTCCTTGCTTCTAACATTGGACTAGAATTGATATACTGTAATTCCACTTCACTTTTGCCTGAACCGACCTCCAAGTAGGAATAACTTTAAAACCCTGTT